ACAAGTATAAATCTTTATGTTGTGTTTGTTCATCGTGCTATAAATGTTCAGTCCTAAACAGAGTGTGTCTAATCTATCATACAGACGATCATGATGAATGGCATCCTTTTTCTGTATGTGTGCACAAAATTTCAGCCTCGGTGAAACACAGAAAACATCAACAATATGTCAGATTAAGTGAATGTTCTCTTTGGAGTATAACAAGGGGACAAATAGAAGATGGTGAAAGTAAAGGCGGAAAGAAAAAAAAACCTCCTACTCTGTACTTAGCTTGGATGTGAGAGCCAGCGTTTTCTGGGATGTGAATAGCATTGACACCTCATTTATTACCTTGAACACAGTGGAACGGACCTACAGTGACTTTGGCATCGCCCACGCAGCAGTTCAGGCTTCTGTTGACTTTTTTTTTAACACGCAAGAAACAACCAGGTTTATACAGCGACAGGATTACCTAAATAGACTGTAGACTGGCATGCTGTTGTAATACAGGTATTGAGCATTGCGCAATCTAAAATTAACAATGACTATTTGAAGACCTCGTCTTAACAGATGTTTATTTTTTTTAACGGTAAGAAGGCTAGCTATATTAGCATGATGTGTCTTAACTTAGCTTCTTAGCATATTTAACCTCCTTTCAGTGATTTAATTATTTTTTAAAATTCTTTTAAAGAACTGACTTAAGACAAATCGAGTGAAGCTACATCACTGTCAATGATATACTTCCCTCCTATCTTTGTATGGGAGCCCTGACTCGGAATGGCTGATATGAGATGGCGGTTAGCGTACAACATTATTGTTAGAATTTTTACAATGTAAATATATAATTTTAATGACCGTTTATTATTAAAAATGATCGTAATCTCCAAATTTACAACAATACACACCACATTTACACATGGAGCAATTTATTGAAACAAGACAATATGCGCTCTACAAGTAAATACATTCAAAATAATATAGACAACGTTGAAGTCACCATGTTAGCTTTGCACTCAGTAAGTGTTTCCGTTTTTTTAGGTGTCCCCCTTTACAAAATTATTTGCCCACCCCTGATCTATACCTACAATTTAGAGTATCAAAAATCAATTTGAAGATTGTCACGTAGTGAGGTGGTGGTGGACCCCAAAAGAGCAGGCAGGAGGGAGGAGCAGGGTGTACTTGAAAGATTGTATTAAAACTCAGAAAACTAAATCTAAAACAAACAAAGTCCAAAGTATCAAACAAAACACATGACCGAAGATAAAACACAACAATGACCAAAACCTGACTGAAACAAACATGACAGGAGCAAAGAGCAACAATGACCCGACACTGAGTGTTCGGGCTGGGAGTCCTTTTAAAGCACGAATTACCTAATGACCAACAGGTGTGCAGCTGCAGGGGAGCCCTACAGTGCCACCTGTTGGTCCCAAACTGAATCATGACAAAGATGAAAAACATTGCTTTTTTTAAAATGTCGCTTGATATCAGCTGTACTACACAGTTTTATATTCTTTTTCTGTACAAAGGAACTTTTTTTCAAAAGATCAAGTCTGGAATGTTTAAGATGCTAGCAAGATTTGAACGGAGCCTTACTCCACTCCTCCCCTTCATGTCCTTGACCAAAGCAGGCGCCGCGTTCAGCTGTACATATATCGTGAACTTCGAGATCCCATTCGCCAAGGCCTCTGGTGTTAGTAGCATGGCCTATTCATGTTGGAAAATTACCAAACATGAAATGTCACTGGTTTGATGTTGTATTTTTTTGGAATGTACAATCAATTAAAAATATGCGAGTACCCGGTGAAAATAATGACTTAAATGGTGGTTTTCTGTCTGCATAGGATATCATCATGATATAAATTTTCCCTTTTTTTTTGTCTCAAGGGATATTCAATTACTTCTTTTTTTCTTGCAAACCAGAGTTCCGTAATCTGCCCAAGAAAACTATCAGCGTGACGGGGCTTTGTGCTGCAGCTGGGGCTGTCAGACGGAGCGCACGTGAGGGTTCATGGACATGGTGTGCCGTATCATTCAGTCATGCCCTTTCTCTCAAAAAAGTCTCTGATTGGCCAGTTTTGGCGCACCATGACAAGTTTAGAAATAATGATTAAAAATAAATTAGAGGCATAAGATGGGGTAAGCGAAAGATGATATTTCCAAAGATCATTTGAATAATATTCTATTGTCAAGCCATCCAGTTTTAATATGCGACAGTGTGTGTGTGTGTGTGTGTGTGTGTGTGTGTGTGTGTGTGTTTTACCAATTCTACTTTTAATGGCTGAATAGAAAAACGTATCTTTATTACATGGGTGCATGACTTAACCCTTTCAGGGACAGCAGTTAGTGGAGTGGACAACCTATCATGTTATCAGGTTACAGGTTATCATTATTAGTGCATGAAATTTTTCAAACCCTCAACCTCGGGACTTTGAGGTGGATGTACTAGCCACTCGCATATCGTGCAACACCATAAACTGTTTATCACTTTTATTTTTAAGGTTGTACGGTATTTGAAATATACATTTTGTTACCATGCAACAACTATGGATATTTGCTTTGGCCAATCCTGGTCAAATAAATGGCATAGCTGCAGAACAGCTTGCAGGAAGCACTGTGCGACAAATACATTCTAATTTCAACTCACCTGATGAGGCATTGCAAATAAGCTCAGGAAATATCCTGTTAGACTAATTGCAAGTCCACCGTGGGGTCAAAAAAAATACCTTCGTTCTCTTGGATATTTTTGCATTCCTGCACTTCACCAGGATGAGATTCAGAGAAAAGGACATTGTCAGCAGCCGGACGAGTGAGTGTGTATGTGAGAGATTGGCGGCTTCTGTTTAAATCCTTTGGTTTAGGTGTGACACTCAATTTCAGTTTTTATTGCTTTAAGGAATTAGAGCATGTAAAACTGGAACGGTGACTTCTGAGACTGGACGGAAATGAGTTAAAACACATTTGTGTTATCTTTTCGATGTCTGAATTGTTCTGATATTGAGATTAAAATATGTCAATAAACTTAAAATGACAATTTATTATTTATTATTGTTGATTTATTTATTACTGCACTCACATTTTCTTGTATTTGTCATGTAAATATCACAAATCTCAGAATGGGCCAGACAAAAGTCTACACACTCTAGATCTGTGGTTCTTAACCTTCTAAGAGGTACCGAACCCAACCAGTTCATATGCACGTTCACCAAACCCTTCATTAGTGAAAAATAAAAATGTGATTTTTTTACACATACTTATCCTCTGTGTGTGTGTGTGTGTGTGTGTGTGTGATGGGCAAAAGGAGTCTCCTCAGGTCGAAGTATCAGCAAAATCAAAATTATTATTGTTATTATTTTCTTTTACAAAGTGCATGAATGTTTCAAAAGAGGTTTAAAAAATGTTCCAAAGTTCCAACTCAAGTCTGTTCTCAAAATTCAAAAACAACTTTCCTCCACGTTGCGTGGGCTTCTCTTCCAGTCCATTTGCTTCCTCTTCTCACTTCACTCTCCTTCTGCTCCTTTATTCCTCTCTTCTATACGCAGCTCCCCTTGCTTTCATCAAGTGGCTCAAGGAGCCACACTTGTTGGGGATTGAGAGGCAGGCTGGGAAATGTAGTCTCTGGATTGTCTGCCATTTTGTGTGCGGCACAGGCTTCTGAAATGGGAGGTAATGTCCTCTACGAGTCCTTCTGTGATGCCACGTTGCTTAGTCAACTTCCAATTTGCTCAAACTACAAAATCTCTCAATAATTTATCGTTTTTTAATCTACTCTCCAGCCACTTGATTAGTCTATTAATTCATCTCATATTGAGAAAGGTCTTGTGTAGTGCACCCTGCTCTATTCTTCTCTTCTTCCATGCATGGAATAAAATGACAAGACAAAACTCTGTGTTTCTGAGTGTTTATTATGGTAAGATGTAAAATATTCACCACAACAACTTTCATAACAGCATACATACAGTTTGTTCTTATAGACTAAATTTGCATGCAGGCAATAATTTAAAAAAAAAACAAAAATATTGGCACTTTTCTGGTTCTTAAAGCCCATGTAAACATGCCCAAAAATCCTCCTTTGACTGAAGCCTTGGTTTGCGTTTTGCGCATGCTCTTGCTCTATCTTTGTAGTTCAGGAGGTACTTTTATGCTCATCATCCTTGCCGAACTTGGAATACATTTTTTTCTCCGAGGTGTTTTCACGTTATTTTGTGTCTCTACGGCGAAAATGACTGTGTGTGTATACAGACACACATAGACATGTGGAGTGTATAAGTCCGCACGTCTAACGTGCAACATGGACGAAATACACAAGCAGAGGTAAATAATCATGGCGAAGCTCAGAGACGCAGCTCAAAAGCCCAATTTTGGAAATATATATTAAAAAAAAAAAAAAAAAACGCCCCCAAAAAACGATTGCTTTATTACTGTGGGTGCTGACATGAACATCATATAAAATAAAATAAAATATAAAAGTAAGAGGCGGAAATTAGGTCTATTTGCCTTACGATGTCCGTGAGTTGCCGCTTAAATGTGGTTATTCAAATGCGGGAGTTAACTCTCCAAATGTTTTAAAATCGGAAATTGAACATAAATATTGACGGCATGCAAACATATTCATGGTAGGTAAGACACCAATTCAGGAAACATTTCTGACTGCCTCTTTGAAAGAAGTGACATTTTGAAATATACCAGGATGTTTTCATTTCTAATTTGGGTAATTTTATCTCAGCACATAATGGGATTACAATTGTGTCCTCTTCAATGGCAGCACAGGAAGATACTACTTTTAAAAAATAACACTGCCAAAAATGCTTACAGTGACAGTTTTATTGTGAAAATATAATGCTGCAGTGCCTGGCATGAAATCCCAGCCCTGAGCAGTTGACAAACAGTACAACAACCCATTTATACATGGCTTCTAATTAAAAATTTGATGTTAAAAGGAAATTATGATTAAGCAGAATTGTGTGTGTGTGTGTGTGTGTGTGTGTGTGTGTGTGTGTGTGTGCGCTTGTGTGTTTGTGTGTGTTTGTGTGTTAATGATCTTTCCACAAGAATGTGATTAGTGGAATGATTGACTCAGTAACTCGCGTTTGTTAAACAAATAATTACTACCTTGAGTTTACAGCAAATACTGGATACAACTGTAGCATCCTGAGGTATGATATGATTGCACCGCATCAATGGTCCAAAGGTTGGTTTGATCCAAATACTCAAACATGTGTCGGTACTTAACAGTACTGGATATAGTATTGACTTCATTTTCCAACATTAACATGTAAACCACTAAGTAATTTGTGAGACAAGTAGACAAGCAGATAGAGATTCGGTGTGCATCTACAAGTTGTAGAATTTGAATATGTCTCAGTGTAAAAATGCGAGTAGATTAGAAACCCTGAGTCCCAACAGAGAACCCTTCAACCATAGAAATAACTCATACATACTAAGTCTGCAGAGGTTGAAGCACTCTGTCAGTGTGATTTGCAGACGTCTCCTTCTGGATTCAATCTTACTCCTTTTATGTCTGTCAGTCAAAGCAGAGAAAAAAACCCAAAGTTATAAAAAGTCTAAATCAAACAACAGGTTTATATTTATTTATCGATGATCTGAACGGCTTCCTCCTCACGAGAGCGTGATGGAGCCGATCCCAGCTGTCCTCGGACAGTCGACTCAAAAATAAAGTTGCGCTGAATTAATGGGTTATAAATTCACATCACATTATCAAGGAGCTCAAATGACTTGCAGAATAATGTTTGTACACATTAATGCGGGACATAGATTGTAAAATGTAATTCTCAGTCACTTCTATTAGCATGACATTATTTGTTAGGTTAACATGGATTTCGAAAAATGTGTCTCTGAGCAAGCTGTTCTCAATTTTGCCAGATAAAGACACAACAGTGTGGTTGATTTTTATAAACCTGTATAAATCCCCGATACAAGTTTCTTCCCTCGGCCCACTCTTGTCCGTCGCCGGCTAGTTGCTATTACCCGCTATTAGCCATCAGTAAACCAGCACACTGCTGTTGGGGCCGTTCAACTCGCTTCATGTACGCATCCACAGGACAGGGACACTCAATGGTAAGTAGACAGTTTATTATGTCTGCTAACCCACTAGGTAACGAGCCAGTGCGCTAACAAGGCTAGCTAGACTAGCGTTAGCGTCGAACGTAGAGTCACCGTCACGGCCTATGGTACGGCATGTGTAAGTCCACGTAACAAAGAGACACATTAGGTAGATTACATTTTTGACAAATGCTGTGGCAGCAAATCTGTTTGGGTGTATGTGACCCACAGTGATCCACAGGCACAGACCCTCCAGATCCTGCCCACCACCTCCGTCGAACAGCATGACCGCAATCGCAGCGCCAGCTTTGTACATACTTGAACAATTGTCACTGATCTGTCGTCTACATCCCTGGGTCCTTATATAGCTTGTTTTGAAGTGAAAAACAAAGCACAACTTGCATTGTGGTGGAGCCACATTTGCGACAGCTATGTTTATTTTTATGGCTAAACATTGTGTGGTATGGATTCTATGTGTGAGTTCTTATAGAGAAAATCAATTCTAATCTGAAACACATTGATGTTTGATTGGGCCCACACTTCACAACACAATGCATTTTTTTTCCATGATGGCACTGCATTTGGCAGCCATTTTCAAGAGCTCTTTCTCCTCTTTTAGCTATAACCACTTCTAATAACAAGGCGTATGTAGAATAGTTATTAGCCTACGATTTGATTACTGTCGATGTTTTGTGTTCTGTTGTGTCATTGTTATTGTTCTGGAAAGTGTTTTGCTACAGCTGCAGGTCCTGTGAAAGTGCTCTACATAAAAAAAAAAGGATTATTGCTTTGTATTTTCCATAAAAGTAAGTTGTCCTTGAAAAATATTCTGGAAAAATAATATTTCTATTTGGGTTGATATTGAACGTTGATACAGGCTTACTCGGACAGTATCTCACAGTGACGTTATCCTCTAAAAAGAAAGTCTTGTGTCTTTGTTGAGCATCAAATCAAGAACAGAACCCAGCCATTGGTTCAGATATTTGAACAAAAAAATGGGCCAAAATAATACCAATTAACTGCTGCAAGAAAAACGGAACTGACAACTGACAAGTTAACTTTAACACTTGATTTTTTTCCACATGCTTATTAATTGTAGCATCATTATAAAATTGGACAGGAGCCGAGATAACCAAAATATAGGAATATTGCAAGTTAGTTAACTGTGATTTATTATTATTATTTTATTTATTTACTTAATTTTGTACCTGGCCAAAGCACGTATGCAGCAGCGCGACATATTGATGAAGGAGGACGACGACGCTCTTGTTTGTAGCGTGGTTTCAATTCCTCTCAATAGGTCATTGGTCTTCAATAACAGCAACATCTGCCGGGGAACTCTGTTCAACAGGTCGTTGATTTGGGGCAGGTAAAGAGCTGCGTTGGTCCGTATTTCGACATCCTGACAGGAAAAGAGAGTTATAGTTACCGATGATCCAAGCTCAACGTTTTTGCTAAGATGGTCTAAAATGTCTGGGATCATCAGTGATAGAATTAGACAGGACAAACACATTTGAAAAATCGACTGAAAAATAATGTGGAGAGGTACCGCTCTTATGAAATTAATTGGTTCTGGAAGAAATTTCTTCCAGAGGTACCGCTACTTATGAAATTAATTGGTTCTGGAAGAAATTTCTTCACAAGAATATATTGTTTGTAGAGACGCGTTTTCCATGTAAATGCCCTAATTTGTTCCAATTTGGAGAGACGCGTTTTCCATGTAAATGCCCTAATTTGTTCCAAGCCCCCTAAAATTCAGACAGAAATGTTTTCTAAAGCATACAAATTCATCAAAATACGTAACAAATACATGTTACAATTAGATTATTGCGCGATAAATGAGAGTTGCGCACAATGTAAAAAACAAAGAATAGAGTCAATTAAATGACCATCAATAAAAATGATGGTCATTTAATTTTTAACTGCGTCCTTGTCGTTTTTTGCCCTTTTTAGATCATGTTCTCTCTCAAAAGTGGTTTTTGTCTGGTGTTTTGTAAAGAACTGATCCAAGAACATTTGGTTTTGTCGACTTTTAACAATCCTTCGAAAATGTCCATGGCAAACATCAGCATAGTGAACGATTGTCCGACTGGTGAACACTTTTTTTGGGTGATTCACATTTACGTAAAGCTATCGGAACGTCTCATGGCCCGTGGGGCGAATGACGAGGACGCTGCATAGACAAATATTTATTTTACGCACAGACACATTGGGTGGAGGTCCCTCTTAGCCAATAGGATGACAGGATGATGTTATGTAATAGCCAATGGCAGAGCAGCTATAAATATGTTGCATTCAGGAAACTCTGAACTGTGAGTAGCAGCCCATACTGTATTTTTAGCCTTCATATCTTGAAATTTCTGTCCTAACGAGAGGCAATATTTTCCTGTTGAGGCGTTTCGTAACTCGAAAATTTCATATGAAGAGACGTTCGTAAGTAGAGGTACCACTGTATCGTCATCTTTTAAAACATAAATGCACATTAAGAAACCGAGTCATGGAAAGACAAATTAATGGAGGCACAGTGTGTGTGTGTCTTTTCAATTTAACCCTTTCATACACACTGTAACCTGATAACATAAGCTGTCCACTGTAGTAACAGCTGCCCCTGAATGGGTTAACAGTTCCCCAATGCGTTTTTCCTCCCAAAATACCTCAAGGTTCAAGAATGACACCACTCTTAACACAGGCAAATCAGCCCCAATAAGAGAGCATGGATTGTGTTTTATACAGTTTTTTTTCTCCCCTATACCCCTCGCGTTTGACTTGGGAGCAGTGTGATATTGACTGGTTGGGCTCTCCCGGTTTAAACAAAACACGCTTTTGTGTACAACTAAGTTTGGCCCTTCAACATAGCCCAAGCTGTCCACACCACTCCTCTGCTTCCTCCAAAACTATTTGCTATGAACGCACATCGCCATTGCATTTAAAGAGCGTTACATTAAACGCAGGTGCGCAATTGCTTACCGTGTTCTCATAAATAGTAATCACACAAGCAGCGAAGTATACAACAGCCTGCACTGCTGCATGTGTTGTTTCAAGGTTTATAATTTATCGTGACACTGGTGTTCATTTTGATTGTTTGCCTTTCGCTGTGTGGTAGCATTTAGGTATCGAACGTTCGCTGTTTAATCATTCGTTTTACATCTGGGAATCGCAAATAACTTGAAGTAAGAACGTTTTGGCTCTTATTTACGGAATCATTTGTATAAATGTTTGTGAAGTGCACGCTCACACCGTGTGCGAGTGTGTGTGTGTGTGTGGGGGGCGGGGGGGTACTAACAAGACATCCTGTCTTTGAAGGCAATTTACTGCTTTACTGTGCAACCCGGTAAACACTGTAAATCTGCCCTTCGATGACAACTGCAATATGACTGTCGTTCGCAGATGAACGGCAATGACAATCTCTGCCTATATACTGTCCATTATGGCGCAGCTCAACAACACAATATATTCCATGATCAACAATATGGCACAAAGTCCATGCTACATACATGACCACATAATGAACAGTTGAAAAGGCAAAATAAAAGACAAGTGAATCCAAAAATGTGTCTTTTGTCCAGCTCGGCAAACTATCTAACGCTTCACCTTTTGATGTTTGTTAAACTGGATAATGAATATACAGCAGCACCAAGAGAGAGTGTTGCATTGTCTCACTTCAAAACAGAATAAAGTAGGATTTCTGTAGCCTGCTCAACTCAAGTGAGCTCCTTGACGTGACGACAAAAGCACGACACAGCGGCTCACTGACATAATAATGAAAGTTGTTGCTGACGTGTTTCAATTATCTATTCTTTTGTTGATGACACCCTGGTTATGAATTACTGTCATAGATACTATAGGCTAATAATTAATTCATATTCATGTAATAATATGTAAGATGAATAACATATCATTACAAAAACATGGAATCCTTTAGGGCGTCCCGGTGGTCGACTGGTTAGCGTGTCATCCTCACAGTGTATAGGTGCAGGGTTCGATTCCGGCTCCGGCCTTCCTGTGTGGAGTTTGCATGTTCTCCCCGTGCTTGCGTGGGTTTTCTCCGGGTACTGCGGTTTCCTCCCGCATTTCAAAAACATGCATGGCAGGTGAACACTCTAAATTGTCTCAATGTGTGAGTGTGAGCACGGATGGTTGTTCGTCTGTGTGCCCTGCGATTGGCTGGCAACCGGTTCAGGGGCTCCCCGCCTTCTGCTCGAAGACGGCTAGCATAGGCTCCAGCATGCCCCGCGACCCCTGTGAGGATAAGTGGATTGGAAAATGGATTCATGAGTCATTTAGATGATGCACTTTTTCACAATTCGTCACCAACTTGTGATTTAGAGATTCTTCTCCACAGATATCAACTAATAAACTATCAAACATGCCTTATTGGCATTAGAAAAATGCATTCAATAAAGGCCTTCAACCTACGCCTGGTCATCCATCGCTGCAGTAGCAAACATTCCCCGCCACTACAGAAAAACATGCAGGTTACACATCAGGATCAAAAGACAACATGCCATCCTAAGCGTGTGATAAACAGTCACCACAGTCACAACAGCAGCAGTTTGTGCTCTGCTTGAAGAATAACAATTAGTCGCAATTATAGGAGGAAATATAGCAAGCCTCACAGCTGTCAGTGGGACTAAGAGAACTGTTCTCATTTGCATCTGCAAAGCGACAATAAGGAATTTCATAGCAAGTGCGGCAATAATTGGAAGTGCACAAGGCAAAGGGAACGCAGCCAGCAGGAGGGGAAATCGGTGCGAGCAATTTCAGGTTTTCCTCTCTAATGGATAGATCCAAGTTATTTTATGCAAGAGACGTGGGGTAGTGGTGGCCAGAGCGAGTAAAATGTCTGAAAAAGTAATTTGCTTTCATCACAAAACGGTTCTCAGCCCTTTTGTTGGGAAATAGCAATCTTAGAAAAGAACATTTTCCAGGTAAAACCTTATCAATATAGGTACCTCACCTAAGCTCCATCCATCCATCCATTTTCTGAACCGCTTTATCCTCACACGGGTCGCGGGGCGTGCTGGAGCCTATCCCAGCCGTCTTCAGGTAGAAGGCGGGGTACACCCTGAACTGGCTGCCAGCCCATCGCAGGGCACACACAGATGAACAAATATCCATGCTCACATTCACACCGAGAGACAATTTGGAGTGTTCGATCAACCTGCCACGCAGGTTTTTGGAATGTGGGAGGAAACGGGAGTACCCGGAGAAAACCCACGCAGGCACAGGGAGAGCATGCAAACTCCACAGAGGAAGGTGAAGCCGGAATCAAATCCTGCACCTCTGCACTGTGAGGCCGGCGCGCTAACCAGTTGGCCACTGGGCCGTCCGCGGAGTCTCCGTGTGATATTAAAATTGCTTTGATGAACTGAAACTTTTGCATGTGGAAAAATATGCAAAGAATACAGAAATAAGGAAGGGGTAAATCCTATTTCACAGCACTGTATAGATCAGATAAAGATAAACCGAGTAAACACAAACTGCAGTTTTCAAAGGACAGTTTTACTCAAGGAGAAAAAAATATTCAAAGCTACAGGTTACTGGCTCTATGTGAAAAAGTAATTGTCCCCTGCAGCTAAAAAAAGGTTGGGCCAACCTCAGCAGCGCCAACTGAGATCAAGCATTTTCTCGAACTCACTATGAGTCCTTCACATCCCCGTGGAGATATTTTTTTAATTCATCAACACTGGAGTGTTTTTAAGGTTATGCCACAGCATTTCAATCGGATTCAAGTCCGTCCTTGGACTATGTGACACCTAAACCTTGGTTTTGTCAATGCGCTGTGAAAAGCATGTATGTCCATTTCTGTCATTTAAAAAAATGTTTACGTTAATGGCATGTCCGAAATGCTCACGCACCATTCCAGTAAAAATGACAAAAATGGACAGACATGCTTTTCATAAGACAGTGACAATTTGTTATTAAGACATTGGAAGTCAACGTTGTGGCGTATTTCCGATCATTGTCCTGCTGCATCAGCCAGGTGCACTTCCACTTGAAGTGATGTACTGATGGCTGAATTTTGCCCTTCACAAAGCAGCCACGCAACCAGCACAATGTTAGATTTTTGGTATGCTGTTCTTTTTCTGAAATGCGGTGTAACATTAACTCCAGTTGTAACAAGATATACGCCTTCCAAAAACTTTTGTCTTGTTAGTGCACACTCTTAGAACCCTTTTCATTCTGAACTTAGCGCACCTTTAGGAGTGTTCACACGGCAACTTTGACTCCGGTGTAGCACCGGGGCTGCCCCCCGTAGAGCGTTCACACATACTAAGTTATACCGGTGTCGCCCCTGAAAACAGTTTAAACCGGAGCAAATTTAACCCTGCTCAGGAGGTGGTTTAAAAATTTCCTCCGGAGTAAATGCTAGCTTGCGGGACAGCACCGATATAAAATGGGACGTGTGAACGCTACAGGGGTAGACTCGCTACGTGTGAAAAGAGTTGATTACATACGGGTAGAATGCGTTGCTTTCGTGCTCTGTTGTACTTTGGTCATCTTTCCTTTTGTAGGAGACTGGACTGTCACGTAGTTGTTTGTGTAGTTTGTTCCTTTGTTGTGTGTTCACAAACCCCCCCCATAGAATTCCCCATAGAATTTATTTTGTGATTTCCTCTCTTGATTTTCTGTTTGGCGCATGTTTGCTTTTCATTGAAGTCATCATTGATTTACGTTTTCGGGGGTGGTCAGTGAACGCCTCTTGAGCAGAAGGCACGGAGACGGCGAATGAGAAAGACGTGCCTGTAGTTGCTTGTGTTAAACAAATTAATAAAGTGTATGTTTTAAAAAGAACCAACACGACAGGTCTCTGTTTCGGAGCTGCAACACTTTCTCTCTCTCATCCTTTTTACGGTGTCTGATAGACCACAGCGTTGATTTGTCTGGAGAAGTATAAACCATGGTTTTTCGATATGTCACAAACAAGGCGGAGAAAAGGAAGTCCACTTTACACATGCGCATGTTTCATTTCCGTATTATTACTATTGCACGGCCGCAGAAACTGCCGTGTGAACGCAAGTGGGGCTGCACCGGGGTTAACACACTTCTCCTTAGTAAGCAGCTTTATATGTGTGAACGCTCCACAAAATTTACACCGGTGTAAGATATATCGCAACAAAATACATCGGTGCAGCACCGATGCCGTGTGAACAACCCTATTGTCAACCCCATTCATTGTGTAGGTGGTGAAGGACGGTGACCATGGAATGGAGCGTTGCTGAGTGGCACTGAGGGTCTCTGTACGACTCAGATGTCTACCACGATGGCAAATCAGCTTGAATAATAACATTTGTAGCAGTGCTCTAGTGATGTCAGACATTTCCGAAGAAGCTGTTTAAGTGAGTGAGAAAAATGCTCGGCTCTATTGCACTTACAGTAACCACGCTGTGAATATCTCCCGGCCCTGGTGCATAATTATCTTTGGAATCCGAAGGAAACATCGATCTTTTTCTCTACTGGCATCGTTATAAGACCCAAAGAGTGCCTCATTTTAAGAGCAACCAAGAAGTGTGCTGTGCAATCAAATGTAAACAGTCAAATGCTGTCCACCTGAGATGGTGAGCGATTTAAAAAAAAAAAAAAAAAAGAAGTGGGAAGTAACCAGAATTTGTGCCAAGAGCCAAGTCCTATTTAAAATGTTATATAATTAAAACTCAGTTGAGTGGTTTCAGTCTTCGAGACCTCTTGCCTGTTGGAAATCTGTCCAACCAATAGAAATCCTACCTCTGAGAGTGTGACAGGCACAGAACTGATACCAGAGTTGACGGCAGTCCAGGAACGAGCGGTGAGTACACAAGCAAACAGTGGGTATAGGTCACCAGCTCCCAGTTTGCGACTGTAACGCTCCACCCCGGGCATGTCCTGTTGAATCAGAGCCTGCCAGAGCCGGCAGTAGTTTACTCTGAAGTCTGGTTGTAAGACCTGGGTACAAAAAGTATTCAAAGTGGCAATTGCTTGTTAAATAAAATACATAGTACAGTATGTATTGCATTGCAACCAAGTCAAGTCAAGTACAACTTTATTGTCAAATGCGCTGTATGTGCAACGTATAGCACAGATGAAATTTCTTCCCTCTCAACCAGACAAGACAACAAGAGGAGCCGCTGCGGGTGCCCGCGCCGCCATCAAAAGAACAGTTAACATAAAATGAGAAAATAATAATAATAACACAACATATAAGACACAAAATGTGTCTTTTTATTTTTTACATTTTCTTGAATCATTGCTTGGATTTTATTACTTATTGGAGTTTGTGGAATTGGGTGAACATCGTAAAAAGGATTTGAGCTTTACTCTTATAGCGAGTGCAGCATTAGTGCTTCTCTTTTGATTCGCTTTCATAGGCTAAGAGTTCGTATTTCAAAAAATTTCCAGACACTAAATGTAATTTCAGTCCATTAATTGGATTATTAACTATGTATTTAAACTGTAAACCATATTTTTTGCTAGTAAGTAGCTAGCAACGACAAGTAAACACTGAGATCATCCGCCGGGATGGCCCATTTTTCACTCAAAGGCTCTATCAGGAAAATGATATGAGCTTGCATTTTCAGCGGAGGAACCGGACACAATTTAGCCATTCAAAATTGTTGTACATACATTGTATATAATGTCCAAAAATTGCATTCAAATGGCAACAAAATGTATGTGGACATCTCTACTTACGCCCACTTCAGCCTCTGAAAATATCACAAATGATTAGCATCTCCAAAGGTAACTTAAGAGAGAATGACAACGTTCACCCCGCTATGGGTGCATGAACGATGGGAACACGGTGGAGCTCCTCGGCTGCCTGAGTGGCATCCCTGACACGGAGGTCCCGTGGGAGGGTGACTGCGACCTGCAGCCCCTATTGTACTGTGTTGTTCGTTTTAATATTTTTACAGGTTGAAGTGAACAGGATGAGGAATGTGCATACCAATTTTGGTGGTGACTGGAGTTTTCAGATATTTTGCGAAAATACAAAGTTTTTAGCCGCCTGCAGAAAAGGAGCTAACACCACTAAATAAACCCTCTAATTTTATGGACTTTGTGTCGTGCTTCATGCTACATCCTGAGGGAGCTACATATGGATCAATATTCTGATTTCTTGGAAGTAGTATTTTAAACGTTCTGTAAAGCGCTTTTTCCAGCTGCAGCGGTTGTGAAGGCTCGATATAAATAAAGCTGTATTGTATTGTATTCTTTTAGTGTAGCTCCATCTCGTGGATGCATAACAACCGCAGCCAGGACTCTATATAAGGCGTAGAAAAAAAAGTAGTGTGTTTCTGGTAACCCGACCGACCGAGAATTTCTACGTCGAAAAAAAACTTTACGGTCGGCATTTTTTTCAAACAACCCTCTACATTTTTGTGTAGAGGGTTTACATCGGTGCAAACTCTCGCGATATTCACGTTGAGTGTGTGCGTCGTTTGCCCTGTCGTC